GCATCCTCACTCTCAGAACTAAGAAATACATGACGCTTTAGCTTAAAAAACTTAGTCAACGTTTCATGCTCATTACCAGTCATAACAGAACCCAACAAAGGACGGAAGAAAACATCATTACCTCCAATCCCACCCACCTTGGGCGTAGTGATAGCAACATGGGGATTAGTAGGAGCTTGAGTTGCTTGAACAAAGGGAACCACTCCAGGACCAACCAACCCTTTCAAGAATGACATGATCTGTTGAGCTAACACTGGGTCCAAATGAGGAATACCTGTAGTTTCAGCCTGTACCTCTTCCTCTTGCCCAACTTCCTCAACATTTTCAACCTCAACATTCTCCTCTATCTCTTCATGATACACAAGAAGGGCCTCATTTCTGGGATAATCTCCAACCGGTGCTCCATCCTTAGTAGGTGTTGCCCTTCCTCGACCTCTACCCCTAGCTCTCCTCTACCCCTACCTCGACTGCAAACTCTCATTGAAGATTCCTCTCCTAGAGCATTGACGGGAGCTATGGGTTTGACGCCGTTGAATATAGTGTTAACCATATGCGGACAGAAAAGTGAAGGAGGTTAAATACCAATTTAAATTGCCAAATACCAATTGGAATCAAGTTATAGCATGAAAGGAGACAAAAAAAAGTAGAGAGATTTCCTAAAGTCCTATAACCTCTTCAAGAAAAGTACAGACGTCTCCGTACCATTCCGTAAGACTCTACTAGACTTGTTTTGGTACATCAAGATCAACAAACCTAGGCTCTGATACCAACTTTATCACGACCTAGACCATCGTGATTGGCACCCACACTAACCCTCCGGTGGGATAACTATTACTACAACCCAAACTAATAACTCAACCAAAATACTAAGGCATTTAAGTTACGGAAGCAAGTTAAATAGCTAAAAACTGAAGTTCCCATAAACTTCCAAATGATCTATCAACTAAACAATGCAAAATAATACGCCTAGAACCTAAAAGTCAGTGTACCAAAACTCTAACAATGAACCAAAAGTCTAAACAAGAAGGGTTACAACCCCAACTAATGTACTAACAACTAGCTAGAAAGTCTAAGTCTGAAATATGGACATAGACAGAAAGGGAACTCATGGCAATCCGGAAGAATTGGCTCACCCTCGAATTTGAACGACGATCATTGATCTTCTAAGCGAGGTTTGTCAATAGTCGCCTGAAGATGTCTTGTACTCAACAAAGAAAGAGCAAGTGCAAAATCAGTACACAACCACAATGTACTGGTAGGATTACGCGGTTATCCCACTAAGTGCAACATATATAAGTCATACAATAATATAACAACATGCATACATCGAACATACACAATATCATCATCATTTAAGAACAACATACATTTTCACATTTCTCAAGATACATAGTTATGTCAAATCATTGGTCCTCTCATGGAACCCAATCCTAAACAGTTAGCATATCAGAACGTGGTACCCGATCCAATGTATATGCCGGAATGTTGCAACCAATCTAATAATTATGCCGAAATGTGGCAACTGATCCAAGTTAGTGTGTCGGAACGCAACACCCGATCCATTCAACGAGCCACAATCACAATCACAAGGTACATTCTCATAATCATACAATTAAGTCATGATTCATGACATTCATCATTCATATATCCTTATTTACAATTAATGTGATCAATAATGCAACATTCACATACATACATGTATCATAATGAAGCACTAACAAACATACATCACACAATCATAAAATCACAACCATCACCTACCTCGAAACAAGCTTGAAACCCTAAGAAACTTGATTCTTCCCTTTTCAGATTCGTTCTACTTGTGCTTGGTCTACAAACAATCAATATAATACTGGAATCAATAAACAATCACTAATTACCCGAATTACTAACAATTCTAACAGCCCTAAATCATACCCATGATCCCACTACCCAAATTAGGGTTTTTCCCACCATAATTCTCTGATCAAAACTCTCACTCATCGATATTTACCCATTAGATTACGTTCTACGGATCGAAAAACGGATTCAGGGAGTTAAAACCTTACCATTAGCCTTAAAGATGGTGGAAAACTGTCAAGAATCACCTGGAGTTCGTCTCCATACTCTCAAAGTCGAAAAGTGCAGAATAAAGACATTTTGGGGTTTATTTCCGACTTAAGTCGCGTCGGGCTTGCCAAAACGGTCCTCACGCTGCTACAGTGGCCCCGCCCTGGCGACATAAATCCCTGCCAAAGCGGCTTGCACGAAACAATGAGCTATTTTAATAATTCCAAGACCCCATTTCACAACACACCTTCAACCAACGACACTCAGAAATTATCCGTTCACGTCAAGATCAGTTTTGGGAGTTCTACTCTCCCGAATTCAATTTTGTAAAGTCATACAATTTCCTTAACGCCTTAGCTATCTACTCATGTAGTCAAAATCATAATTATATCACCCAATTGCTACCAGATTTCCCTAGACCTCCCAGACATCGATTTCGTCCAAATCTGGACTAGGTTGGAAAATATCAAGTTACTACGAAAAAGTTTTTCGGCCCAAAATTTTTTCCCGTTGACTTTTCTATAATGACGAAACCCGGTCGTTACAATTTTGATTGAAATGTAATTGGTTAACAAATGATTTGTTTGTACTTTATTTTGAATGTATATTTCTACATGCGTAATGTGTTAGTATGATACAATTAAGACATTTTTTTAGTTGTAAAGTCATAATCTCTATTATACGAGTGAATATTAGTCGAAGTTGAACAAACTATGGTTACCGATTTACCATACCATAGATTCCCGAAATCAAACTTTAAAATACCGAACCATACCAAATTAAATTGATATGGTAATAAAATAATATTTTAAAAATTGAATACCAAAATTCCGATATCAAAACTTTCAAATACCGTACCATACCATGCCCACCCCTAGATATATGTCGGTAACTAGTTTGCTTATAGGGTATATGCTTAATTTCTCCCTAAAAGATAGAGTTGGAAAAAGGAAAAAATAGAATGGCCCACATGCATGGAAAATTGGGCAAATTTTTCAGCTGAGAAAACAAAACGTAGAAGGGCTTTTATGTCCCATATTAAGAAAGTATAATTATAAAACAGCCAAGTATAATATTATTTAAGCATGATATTAAAAAAACATTAAGAGATTTTTTATATTGAAGCAGACATGTCGATCAACATCGACTTCCGTAACCTCTTACTGTATATACTATATAGTAGTGTAGTAATACTCCCCGCCAATTTATATACTTTCTTATTTTTCTTTTTAGTCAGTCCCAAATGACACATTTCTATATTAAATAATAATTTAATTTTTAAATATTCATTTTATCTTTAATAAACAATTTATAGGCACACAAACATTTATCATTTATTTTAGAGTTTTTGGCCAAGAACATCCCTCAACTACACTCCATATTTAAACCACATCCTTGTACTATCACAATGAACAAAAAATATCCCTCAATTACCTTAAAAATGACAAGATTCATCCTTCATTAGTTTTTTTTAAAAACTAACGGTTGATCAACCCACAAATTCCCCATTTTGTTTGCTCCCATTCTTCTCTTAGCTTATAGTAGTAATAGACAATCCTAACTAAATTGAATGAGGTAGGATGCTGATTAAATTTAAAGTATATTAGAGGGATCGTTTTAGCCAAAAACTCACTTATCTTTATGACACACCATACCTTACTTTACACTTGTACACCTACTTTATGACACACCATACCTTACTTTACACTTGTCCACCATTCCTATCTACTTACTTTAATATACACATGCATAATAATGCATACTCGACTAATTCATATCTTATCCACATCTTTTTTCTTTCTTTCTTAAACTCCATGTTAAGTTAAACCAACTCATCTAAAATAAGACATAGAGTATATAAATTGATTATGAAGAAAATATCTATTTAAAAATCAAATACCAAAATTCCGATATCAAAACTTTCAAAAACCGTACCATACCATGCCCACCCATAGATATATGTCGGTAACTACTTTGCTTATAGGTTATATGCTTAATTTCTCCCTAAAAGATAGAGTTGGAAAAAGGAAAAAATAGAATGGCCCACATGCATGGAAAATTGGGCAAATTTTTCAGCTGAGAAAACAAAACGTAGAAGGGCTTTTATGGCCCATATTAAGAAAGTCTAATTATAAAACAGCCAAGTATAATATTATTTAATCATAATATTAAAAAAACATTAAGAATTTTTTTATATTGAAGGAGACATGTCGATCAACATCGACTTCCCTAGCCTCTTACTGTATATACTATAATCCTCCCCGCCAATTTATATACTTTCTTATTTTTCTTTTTAGTCAGTCCCAAATGACACATTTCTATATTAAATAATAATTTAATTTTTAAATGTTTATTTTATCCTTAATAAACGATTTATAGGCACACAAACATTTATCACTTATTTTAAAAAATTTGACAAGAACATCCCTCAACTACACTCCATATTTAAACCACATCCTTGTACAATCACAATGAAAAAATATCCCTCAATTACCTTGAAAATGACAAGATCATCCTTCATTAGTTTTTTTCAAAAAACTAACGGTTGATCAATTCACAAATTCCCTATTTTGTTTGCTCCCATTCTTCTCTTAGTTTATAGTAGTAATAGACAATCCTAACTAAATTGAATGAGCTAGGATGTTATTTAAATTTAAAGTATATTAGAGGGATGATTTTAGCCAAAAATTCACTTATTTTAAAAATATTTCTGATTGTAAAAGGATATTGTTTAAATTTAGAGTATATTAGAGGAATGTTTTAACCAAAAACTCACTTATTTTACATGACAAATTTTAAAAATATTTCTTTCTTTCTTAAACTCTATATTAAGTAAAACCAACTCATCTAAAATAAGACATAGAGTATATAAATTGATTATGAAGGAAATATCTATTTAAAGAATCGAACACGAGTACAACAATATTTTAAGAAGATTGGTAATGTAACCAAATACAAGGGACAACTAAAATACCTACCATCCAGTTTGTGTCCCACGTGTAAGGAACTCAAACTCTCCACCTACTAATACGCCACTCCCCTCTATTTCTACATGTTAATTAAATTAACTAACTACCTTAATTTTTCCTACTTCTACTACTACACATTCCTAATTATCCTCTTATTTTCTTAATCATTCTCTGCAGTTCAACTTGTTATCCTTAATTAATCAAGATCTCATCTTTCTCTGAATTTTCTTATAAAATTGGAATCTTGGTCCTGTTTGTGACATTGGGTATTTGTAAAATTAGATAAAATGTCACTTCTTGGAACAGTTTTACAGCTGTCGTCCATGTGTTTGTAGTAATGCCTCAAAGACCAAGAAACAATAAGGAGTGCCAGCCATTTATTGTATTTTCCATGGAGTGAATTGGTGGTAGAAAGAAATGATGGTACCAGAGACAAATATGTTACCCTGTAATGGGGAAATGGAAAATGGATTCGGTAAGGAAGATTTATCAGATATAGAAGAAAATCAAGAAGAGTTGGATCAGTCAAGCCACTCAAATATAGGGAAGCCACCAAGAAACACTACAGGGATGCGGCATTGTATCAGCCAAGCAACGTTGACAGGTGCTTCGCCATTGGTGAGTGAACCCCATTTTGCCAAATCAGGATGAGAGTGAGTGTCATCTTATTATTTTTATAAATATATCTGAAAGCATGAGTTCAGTTGAGCCCGCAGAACCCGTCCTAGATTCGCCTCTTAATTCGTTTAGTTTTTGCTTGCTTTTATAAAGTGTGAATCAAATGCATTTAGGTGTATGCTAATCCAAGTGTCTATTGAAAAAAAAATCCTTATTTGCTTTATACATCTTATGTCCTAAATTAGAAGCTAGAGCAAGATGACAGGGTTAGTTATGATTGTCTTTGGTGAATCCTAGGACTAATGTAGGACATAAAAGGGGCTACTTGAAAAGAAAAAAAAAGAAGAAAAATACGTATGGTATATGCAGTGGTTTATCTACCATTAGTAGTACACCTAATTACTTGGTAAGAGCAAGGTCTAGGTTCAAATCCGACTCCTCCGAGAAACTGATATTTTAGTTTCTTAATAGTATGAAGAAGGTAAAAAAAAAGTTTTATCTGTAAGATTGTAACATACAACTACAAACTTCGATCCCAAGCAAGTTGGGGTCGGATATGTGTGTTCTTGATGCACATGTTGCTCCATTTAAGCCTCTTTTATACCAAGCTAGCACTAGAAGTTCTCTACACCTTTTACTAGCATATAAGTCTCTAGTCTCTGGCACAGTGTTGTCAAATGCACGCTTAAGCCCTGAAGCGAGGGTCAAAACTTGTTCAGCGCTTAGCCTTGCTTTATGTGCTCTCTAGTGTCATCATTAAGGTTCTAAGACAAGCTTTTTCTTTTCTAATGAGCCTCTTTTGAAGAAGTGACACTAAACAATTGATATTTCACTTTATCATAATGTTTATTTAATTTCTTTGGTCATATATTTGTCATACATGTTTATAATTATTAGTCTTGGACTAAACATATATTTTGAACTTTTTGTTCATTTGTGCTTTTTTAAATTAAAGCCCACACTTCATTTGCGCTTTGCGCTTAAACCCCCAACGGACCTTAGAGCTTTTTTGTTCTTTTCGCCTTTGATAACATTGCTTTGGCAAGACTAAAAGACTATAAGCTGTCAAAACAAGATCTCAATTATATAAAATTTTCTTTGTCTTGAGATTGAATAGCTTGATTGCTGCAGTAAGCTAATAAAGAAAGTCTGTAACTTCTCGCTACTGTCCACCTTTAATATTTTGATGCCCTTTTTAAGCAAGAATTATAAGTTGTTGCTAAATTGTGATTTGTTTGTTTTAAACATATTCCTTCTTTTTCTTACACCGCAAGTTCTGCAAGCTTGTAGTCTTTGTAGATTGTTTAACAGGAGAAGCTTCTTATATGGGTTTATGCAGTTTCCTAATTGAATTTGTTTTTTCTTTGCTTTATGAAATATCTAGGAGTCGCCTACACAAATTCTTCCTCTTAAATCATCATCAAGTGACGATTCTGGATATGTTCCCATCTTTCGCTCAGGAAGCTATTCTGAGATTGGGCCAAAACCAAACATGGAAGATGAGCATATCTGTATCAATGATCTTTGCAAACACATTGGCTCATCCAAGGGGCTTCTTTCTCCTGGGGCATTTTATGGGGTCAGTAACTTTCAGTTTATCCAAACTGTAGTTACTGTGAAAAGACTAAAGTGTCACGTATAATTTTTTGGAAATTCTTCATACAAAATGTGAAAATACCCTTTTCATTAATATGGCCCCTAGCACCTGTTACTAGTAAACTGCAATATCACTTAGTAACAAAGTAAAATGTGATGCCACTTCCACTTGACTGTTTCTGCATCTTGTGCCAGATCCAAGCAAAAATAATTTTGAAATTCAATATCGCGAGCATGATATCATGAGTAACACTCTTGTTTTTTTATGTGATATGCAACTATTATCGAGATTTCACTAGTTGTGTTATCAGCTGAAAGATACCCACTTGAAGAATTTTAAGTTCCTGGTACTTGTCAACCTTTTTGGTTTATTTAAGGTGCTTGATAAATTTTTATTTGTGTACTTTCAGGTGTTTGATGGTCATGGTGGCATTGATGCTGCATCATTCACTCAAAAGAATCTCCTAAGCTTTATTGTAGAGGATACGCATTTTCCATTGATGGTCAAAAGAGCTATCAGGAATGCTTTTGTTAAAGCTGATAATGCACTGGCTGATACCCAATCACTTGATAATACCTCTGGAACAACTGCTCTGACTGTGCTTATTTTAGGACGGTAAGTGATTGACCTTCTTTTGTGTGGCACATTCATATATTTCTAAAATTTTCATCTCTCCCAGGAGCTAGATGCATTCATGCCGTGTCTGTCCTAATATTTTTTTATACAAAATTTGGATCTCCTAAATATGTCAATGTTTAAGTTCTATAGGGTCTTGATCTATTGATGAGAGCAAAACACTTGATGTATGGATTAGTCATATGTCATGGGTTCGAACCCTTTCACAGCAAAAAGCCTAGTATTTAAGTGGAGAAGGGTTACCTCTCTTGTGTAGTTTGCGAGCTATTGCATAGGAGCGGGGGTTTTACCCTGCGCCCACCCAAAGGGTAGGGCTGCGGGTTTCCCTTGTTATGAAAAAAGTGGAGAAGGGTAGAGGGGCGGGTTCATGATTCATTGAGTGTTCGAACTGTGTGCTATTGGCACTTGGGGATTTCTCGATGATCAGAAAAGAAACATATGTGCGATGTTTAGCTCAGATACCAGGAGTGCTTTAGTACAGAAGGGAGAAACACCGTTGGAACTTAAAACACAAAGCTCATCAAATTGGGGAATTTCGATCATTAAATAAGCAAACTTGGGGAAAAAAATGGAAGAGTCAATGATGATCACAAGTCGGCATTTCTACTGCTTGTTTGAAGAATTTGCTATCCTATCTTTGTAGCCATGCAAAGTTATAGACATCTTCAAAACAAATGGGTATATCTTAATCCACTTTCCTATGGATAACCTAGTTCTAAAAGATTCAAGATTCTACTCTTCCTGGCTTCTTTATCTATGATTTTGGATGAATATATTTTCCTAGTGTGAATAGGACAACAAAACGTTGTTAATCTAACCAATCATTACAACAACAACATACCCATAGAATCCTACAAGTGGGGTCTGTGGAGGGTAAGATGTATGCAGACCTTACTACTACCTTAGTGGGGTAAAGAGGTTTTCGATAGACCTTCGGCTCAATTGAAATGTTTTCAAAGCAGGATTGTAAGAAAAATATGACAACAAAAACAGCAAGATACAAAGAAAAACAAAGCAACAGATAGTAATGTACTTTAAAAAGTAAGAAACTACGCGACTACTAAATAATACTGCTAATAAGGAGAAGAGGAGAGGAGGAGGCTAGCCCCCTACCTCTCCCAAAAGAAGTGCGACAATACTCGGCAACCTATTAACCTTCCATCCTAATTTTTATTCTCCAAGCCTTTCTATCTAGGGTCATGTCCGCAGTAAGTTGAAATTGTGTCAGTCTTGTCTAATCACCTCCCCCAATTCTTTTTCGGCCTACCTCTACTCTCCTAACTCAAGCTACAACCAACATTTCACACCTCCTTATTGGTGCATCCGCGCATCTCCTCTCCACATTCATTTCAACCTCGCTTCCCTTATCTTGTCCGTTACGGAGGCACTCCCACCTTTCCCTGTATAACTTTGTTCCTATCTCTTCTAATATGCCCACACATCTATTCGAGCATCCTCATATCTGCTACCTTTATCTTCTAAACATGGGAGTACTTAACTAGCCAGTACTCTGACGCATACAACAATGTTGGTCTAACCACCACTCTGTAGAACTTAACTTTAAGCCTTGGTGTAACCAATTGGATTTCGTTACTGCCTATGTCTTTGGTCCATTTGGTATGAGAGATTTTCTTACTGACTTTAGCCTCATAACTTTCATTCTTGAAATCTACCATTTAATTCTAATATCTATTTACAACGCCAGATAGGAACTTACATAACTCAGTTATGCATCAATGAATTGTTTATTTATCCCCCTTATCCTTTTTCATTTGTTGTGTAGGTAACTTATTTTCATTCCTTTGTTTATGTTGTGGCGATTCACAGGACCATGCTTATTGCTAATGCTGGGGACTCTCGAGCTGTCCTAGGAAAACGTGGAAGAGCGATTGAATTATCAAAAGACCACAAACCAAACACTACTTCTGAAAAATTAAGAATTGAGAAACTAGGGGGAGTCATATATGATGGTTACCTTAATGGCCAACTCTCGGTTGCACGAGCTCTTGGTGACTGGCACATAAAGGGTCCTAAAGGTTCAAAGGGCCCCTTAAGCTCGGAACCAGAGTTGGAAGAGTTGGTCCTGTCCGAAGAGGATGAGTTCTTGATAATGGGGTGTGATGGCTTATGGGATGTCATGAGTAGCCAGTACGCGGTAACTATCGTGAGGAAGGAGCTCATGCTGCATAATGATCCCGAGAGATGCTCGAAGGAACTTGTCAGGGAGGCACTAAAGCGTAATACTTGTGATAATCTAACGGTGCTTGTGGTCTGCTTCTCTCATGATCCACCCCCGCGAATTGAAATACCAAGAACACAGAGGAAGAGGAGCATATCAGCTGAAGGATTGGATCTTCTAAAAGGTGTCTTGAGTGACATATAAAGCAGACTTATTGTATAGATGAATTAACCTCCTACATACCATTGTCAGGGATTTTTCTGAGTTTTCTGCTGTCCATGACAATGGTGGATTATTGCTGATACAAAAACAAAATGCTTACTGTAAGGATCTTCCAACAACTTAATTTTGATTTATTCAGTTGTCACTGTAACTATCCTTGATTGAATGTGGCTGCTCTTCATAATAAGATTCATATGCACACCAAACGATTCTTTGCCTCCACGAGGTAGTAGTAAGTTTTGCATACGCTCTATCCTCTCACTAACCATATTAAGTTGATATGCAACAATAGGTAATTCTTCGTAGCAAACTTGATATCTTTTCCTCCACGAGGTAGTAGTAAGTTCTACGTACACTCTATCATCTCTAGACCCCACTTGTGGGATTTTACTGGGTATGTTATACTTGTTGTTATTGTTATAGTGCATATTATTTAAATCCTTATTCTTCTACAACAAAAATTATGAAACCAAAAGAGGAAAGAGTTAAGTTTCTCTCAGATCGACCAAAACTTTCCTTGAGTTTGCAATAAGCGGCAAGAAGCAAGGGTGCGCAAAAGCCGTTGCCCCTTAGTGCATCCCTTTTCTTGAAGGACTGCTAACGCGCGACCTTATGCTTTCTTCCGCTTGCTCTGCAGTACATGTCTCATACAGAGCTGCGCTCCTTTAATATGATGAGAAGAAACTTTTCAAATTAGTGATCTTTAATTTTTATTTTTGCTTCTCATTTTATGAAATACTGCGAGATAAAGTAATTTTAATTACGATCTAATTTCGCAAGACATAAATTTAGAGAACTTTTACTTTGTCCAGTAAAATTTCTGTAGGAATAAGCTATGCCCCTTAAGGTATAATTTTGTGAGCTTTAAACTAAACTTTGTGGGTTCTATGGGCATATGAACTAAATTATGCCTCTGAAAGATACTTTTCTAAAGGAAAAAAAAACTAAAGCAATCTCCAAAATAGGAGCATAATTCCCTTCATTTGGACCCAATTTTTCTTATAAGAAAGGTAGGCACTTTATATTTTTATCGACATGAATATTTCTAAAAAAAATAACAAATTTTAGGAAAATATCAGATTTAATGTAATGTTATTCACAAGGCTAAACTATAAATTATAATCTCAAATTAGTTGGTATAGCATATATATATGAATATGCTACTATTCAATGTATTAATAGCTTATTGTTTTTTTTAGATGAGATGATCATGTACGTTATTATAGTGTTAGTGTAAATAAGAAGTTTGGATTCAAATTTCATTGCCATGCTTTAATAGTATTACAAAAAAGATCATGTATTTAACTCATAAAAAAGATAAATTCGTATGTGAGGAACATATTGAAAATATAATTGACCAAATAAAAACATTATTCTTTCGAACTTCAAGTTTTAACTGAGATGATTACACGCTTTAACAGTGTATATAAACTATAAAATTCAACAAATTAACTGGTTAGAAACTACCAACAACTTTCATGGTATATATGAATTACGCCAAAGATCACATTACTCAAAATAGTGGATACTAGAAAAAACATCATATTTTATTTTATTAAATTGGGGTATGGGAAGGGGAAATGGTGAGCAGACTACAAGATGGGGAATCAAACCCTTATCGATAAAATAAAAGTTTACGTAGTCAATCAACTAAACTACGTACTAAAATACTATGACATAATTAAAATCTAATCATAGAGAACACCTTCTCAAGATGTTTAGCCTTGAGATCAAGATACTCTTTCACCTTCACATTTCTATATTTTGGTTCAACACCAACATTATCCTTAGAAGAAACTAATGGAACAATCATAGAATACACTTGAGGTCCAAAAAAATAAGCCAAAGAGACTCTATGCTTAGTTTGATCCACGAGAACTCGATGATAAACCGATGGAAATTCTCCATTCGAGAGTATATGAAGAAGATCACCTACGTTAACAATGAGGGCATCGTTGGAAACTGGAGCAATTGAAGTCCATACTTGGTCTTTTTTCAAGATTTGAAGACCCTTTGTGTTATTTGTTTGATGGAGTATTGTTAGGAATAATGAATCTGTGTGAGGAGCTAACCCTAATGCATGGTTAGGGTTGGGGCAACATGGATATGAATTCAATTGTAAAGCTCCTGTAGATTCAAATGACTTAATTGAATGCTCTTGAGATGGTTGTAAGTAATTGAGGATAAGCAGCCAGAGTTGGAAGGATAGAGCTTTCATCTTCTTTTGATAATTTTCCATCACATCACTACAAAGACCAAAACAAATATATAACTTTCAGCGTCTCAAATTATTTAACGCAATTTCTGAAAGTAATATCGTCTCAAATTATCTAAGTAATTAAATTTATGATTATGATGAGAAAAATATAATTGTTGATTAGAATTATTTACTAAATAACTTGATTATATAAATATATTTTTTGTATCGTTAATGTGTATAAACTTAAACATGATGTTTGTATACACATTCACATAAAATCAATCCATGTACTTACCAAAATTTTTGATAGTCATGTGGCCAAAGTTCCTTAGCATGATCAAGTGGTGAATCCATAATGGTGAACCCTTCATGCCACATGAACTTTGAGAAAAATGGCGTAATTCGAGCTGTGCCATAGCCGGTGGCGCCACTAGTCGATCTCACGACCTTCACCTTCTGTTCTACTGGCAAGGCAAAAAGTCGTCTTGCTTGAGATTCAACTTCATCAAAAAGTTCTAAAGAATCTCCATGATTAACAACTTGAAATATCCCCCATGTTTTGCATGCATGACCTATAAGTTCCACAACATTAGGGGCTAAAAGATCAATTATTGGGACATTAGGATTTTTTTCATCATGACTAATTGAGGAATTATTGATATCAGGCCATAAATGAGAGTTTGGAACTTCTTGGATTGAATGAAAATCTATAGGAAGAATGTGTTGAAGGCTCTGAGGGTTTTCTTTGAAAGATTCTTCAAGAGTACTAGCAGTAGCCATTATTTTGTACTTTGAAGCAAAAACAAATATTGTAATAATAAGTATATAGTTTTTTCTTGGAATATATATAGGGTAGGAAATATAACTCTTTACAGGATTGGTTGGTCTTTTTTGGAATATGTGTTGTCTATAATTAGGTTCCCAAATTTGGCAGATTAAGCTACCATTTAATCATACATTTTAAATCAAACATTTAATTTTTTTCTTTAAATATCTGTTTGACTTTGATTTTGAATAAGACGTTTACATTTTTTCTTTAAATATATGTTTGACTTAGATTTTGGATGTATCATTTAAATTTTTTCTTTCAATATCCATTTGACTTGGATTTTGGATCACTCTTAAATATTTATCCTTAAATGTATCTATTAGGCCATGAAATTCGATCTTCAAATATTTTTAAATCCCCCAAAAGAGTTAGTTTTTGGGTTTTTGAGATCTCCATTCACAAAATTTAATTATTTTTCTAATGCATTTTGGCGGCAAGTTGTTTTCTAACTTTGACATAATTATTTCAAAAGCCACATCTAGTGAGGAGAAGATATAATTGTAGAATACTGACTTTTATCATCGTCCTTTGTTTTATACTAATTGTCACTTGTTTAAAAATTTGACGTCAAAATGTTTAACTTTAGCTTCGGATTCATTAACTCTGGATTATAAATTTGAACTTGAGAGTTGTTTGGCTCATGAAGAAAATATAACAAAGTAATTGATATTCATATGGCTTGTTACATTCTTGCCTTATTCACTTTCTCAAACATATGACATATGTTCCCAAGATTTCTGATTATGATAACTTTAAATATATTTGAATTTTGACCAAAATTGTTTTAATAATCCCAAACTTTGGGCAAAGCATATTACCCTTGCACTATTTAATAGTGTATTTAAATAGTGCAAGGGGTAATCAGTCCTGCTCAAAGTTTGGGATTATTTCAACAATTTCAATCAAAATTTTGATATATTTCAAACTTTTTTCCATAAAATAAAATTATAGAAGAAAGTCTAGTGTAGATAAGAATTTCTTAAATTATAAGAGAAGATACCCTTATTAAAGAGTTCTTAAATATTTTAATTATCAGTCTTACCAAAAATCACAGAATTGACAATTCATGTTTTGATTGATTCTCTTCCTTAAAATTTGGAATGAAAAAACAACTTGAGAATATAATTTTTTTTCAACAATTTTTTTACCAAATTCCAGAGTATTAACTGTGAAACATGGTCCAGTACTAACAAAAACATGCCCATTTGTTTAGTTCTCATATCCAAATGGACATTGAGATTCACACAACAAAGGGAAAAAATCGCATAAATCAAAATGACACCATCTCATCAATTATAACAATATTATCCAGAGCATTTGAAATTGTAACCTTTCATAATTATGAACTGCCATAATAAAATGAAATATCAAATCTAAATGGATGCAAATACTTACTAAAATCAACTTATCTCATTTGGTTAAAGTCAAGAGTTACTTCAAGTAATCTTATAGAAAGAAGCATATTAACTTACCTGTAAAGGTCGGCACAAAGTGATTCATCGTGCTCAAACATGAGCCGATCGCTCGTTAGGGACAATTTATAGATCATAAAATTTCCACAAATGAAATGAAAAGTGAGCCCATGTAAATGATCAGGACCTCGCAAACAATAGCGACCACTAAGGCAGCAAAAACCTAAAATAAGTAGCACACATTTTTTGTAGTTCATTCTCCATAGTAACCTAATGATTGATCATGTTCCTAATACTCAATGAGACTGTACAATCTAAACACCTACTAATGTTTTGTTTTCAGTAACTAAAAAAATCCAAAATAAGTAAGACATTTTCTGTGATTGGACAACATAAAAACAGTCAAAATTATAAAAAAGAAGAAAGTCTAAGTTGTATTATATTTCAAGGCTCAAGCTTATCAATTCAAATCACAGGGAAAATAATTAAATATTGACACAGTTTTTGCAACCTCTTTGCACAAAAAAAGACTGAGACAATGAAATGAATAAACCTTAATTTCCTTTACTCCTTACCCAATGCCGCAACAAAATCCTCACTCCAATCAACTTTACCAAATACAATTACAATAGTAAGAAAGATACACTAAAAAATCATTGCCTACACCCCGAAAATTACTAAGCTAATATCCGAACTATTGTTTATTTACATGTAAGATCGTATCGGATGATTCTTAAATTTTTCATATGTGTA